AGCGCGTGATGATCAAGTCCTGCCAAAGGCCTATTCACTGGCCATCACCCCGGAAAACACACACAAGTGTTCGTATACAAGTACGTCGGCGTAAACCAGAACTCGTTGAAGCACTATGCGACACCCCTCACATAAACCCACCATAATCGCATGGCTTCTACCCTCCTTCGCACCCCGTCGCCCCTTCAGATGCTAATCCCGCCATCCGAGTTTACATGGCCGACCTCACCAGCATCTCTGCGTACAGACAACCTCCTCGATCAGCTGCATGGTGTCGAAGCAGAGGCGGATGAAACCTCACCGAAATCTCGACGAGGGTGTTTCGATTGGATTCCCATATTATGACTGGCACTCGGCCCTCCGTCAACAAAGTTTTCTTCCAAAGTCTTCCTTCCGCCTCAATCCCCCATTCCACTTCGAATCCCGCGTCTTCCCCCTCAACTGCCTCTCCCCCCACTTCATATTCTATCACCCCTTCATCCAGACCCTCATCCAAACTTCCCTGTATCGGACAACATTAACTCTGCTTCGTCGTTTCCGCTTCATCGCCACGCGAAGTCCTTCCTCCATTACTAGAATCGACGTGTTTGATACTGGGTCGGCGAACCGCGTTCCTGAGGATGTTGTGCTTGATTTCAGGTTTCCAGTGAGGACGAATGCCAGGGTTTCCGTTGGCCTGAATGACGTGAAAGGAAGTTGAGATTCAAAAAGTTTGGACTTGGGAAAGAACCTCTACTCCACTACGCAATACGCACTTAATATCTCGGAAGGGGGGGGGGATCACCATTTTGTTGTGCTTCTCAAGCCCAGTCTCAGACGGCAGATACGAACGAGAGGGAGCATGTTCGTCCGTTAAACCTTTGCAGGAGTGTATCGTGCATGGTATGGGTATTGTTCCCTCTTTGGACTCTTCGACGTCGACTTCATCTTCGAGGGTGCCATTCACTCCTGCTACCGTTTGTCGCGTTCGTCTTCGACCCCCCACTCTGTCGAGTTCAACCTTGGATTCTAAAAAATGGAAACCACCATGGCAGACTATGCCCACAAAGCAGCCATCACCGGCTCCATCTACCTCTCCACCATCTCTGAATACGACCTGTACTGCTACTGTGTTCCGGGCCTCGTCGGCGAAGGGCTCTTTCGCGTCTTCTCAGCCTCAATAAGGAAGGACCCCGGCCACGCTCCCAGCTCATACTCTCAAACTCCATGGGCCTCCATGCCTTTCGTGAATATGTCGATCAGCAACGGTATTTCTGGCCCCGGGAGGCTTTTGGGAGAGAGGAGTATGGGTCAAAAGAGAGAAAGGACCTTTGTGAGCCTGCGGCTCTGTAGACAGCGACGTCGGTGCAGAGTGGGTGGCCTCAAGTGTGTGTGGAGATTTTGATCTTCCGCCCTTCTCGGTGAGTTGTTTCTTGCGCTTCGCCCCTTTTCTGAAGCTGACTATTATACGTTCACCACCACCAACTTTTGTGAGGGAAGGATATGTCCCGCCCCCTCGCTTCAAATGGCAAGTCCGAAAGTGCTGTCCTGTAAGGTCTTACAGTTTTACGGAAACTTCTTGATCTAATTATAAATCAAAAGGTGAAGTTGTACGTGTTCGAGGCCGCCAGCAAAGCGCTCTTCGGTGTCATCTTCAGTGACAATGTTTGTGGGGGCCCATGTTCAAAACCGAGCACCTTAAGACACATCGGGAATACTAGGTGTCTGCCCAGTGTGGAGGCGATAGTATACGCGAATGAAGCAGGCTTTCCCTTCCCATAAGCTGTAGCTACAACTTGTTACGTGCTTGGCACTGCCAGCCTCGCGCTCATACAAACCAGCATCTTCACTCTGTACCCGCTGCTTGTGAGTTCTTCTCGAGCTTTTTACCCCCCACAAAGCTGATCATTCTAGACGTAAAGATAATCGTCTTCCACTTCAACTCACACACTCTTGATAATCAGTCGCGACGAACCTTCACTGAGAAGGGTTGTACAACTCGATGCCCATGATCGGTCCAGATTGCGGGTTCGTCGTATGTAAGGGCCCAAGTTCCTTGAAGTGTTTCACCAGAATGACGTGTCAAATAAGAGGGGGCAAACTCGTGCATCTCATCACCCTGTTATAGAACCTACTTTTACGAGCAGGACATCGACGTTTAAAGTCGAGGTGGGTCTGTTATATCCGTTCTCACTTGTCTGTATGCTTACCAACAACAGACTCAAGATTACGACGACGGTCACGACACCCAATGGTCCGGACAGTTCAACGTGCTGGACTGGTAAGCCCTCATCGACGGGAGCTCTTCATATCTGATTTATCAATCAGTTACCCTTCAGGCTGCCAGAGAAGCGCTACTCACTGTTCAAGACGGACGGACTGACCGACCCGATTTCAACCAAGGGTTTCTCACCGCCAGCTTCAAATCCAGTGGCCAGAGCTACGTAGACGTGCGGTGCTGCTTACCGCGGAACGGAAGAAGCTGGTCTGTGCGGTTAGGTGGGTAGAGTGTGATGTACGAACTATGTATCCTCATCTTGGCTTTTCTATCAGGGCAACGGGAAACATAAAATGGAACACCGATTTTGATGCAGCCAATCCACCAGCTACAAACCCTTGTCTGAGACTGGTTGAAAGGACTACAGCCATGATGTCGGCAAACTGGAACTACAAAACCTTCGCATTTAGGACTTGAATTGGATTGAAGAGTTGAAATCGCAGTGGTACGTTGTCTAGTACGCCTATGTCGCATTTCCCTAAACCCTTCCTGCACAGATCGGCCTTACAATCCCTGCCACTCGACAGGAAGGTCATGTGTTATCACGCACAGCCTTTTCCGCTCGAACTCAAATTGCAAGTTCATTGTGAATGGTAGTTATTCTCGTTTGTGACTCTGTCGTAACTCATGTAGTTGCTGTATCCTATTTTAGAACGCAGGCAAAAGACGACCCGATTGAATACGGCTTTCAGCGTTTTAACGAACAGAACCACTCCGACTCCTTAAAACCCAGGAATAGCAGTCGCCAGCTCTGTCCAACTTGAGGTCCGTTCGAGTTTGGATCGCAGGGGTATTCCTAGTGCGGCGTCCCAGAGACAGGTGCTTCGAACGTGTGGAAATTGAGACATGATGCAAAGCGTCACTTCCTGCTCACCGGTGCTCTTCAACGATGCAAACGCTCTTTGGCTGTGGATACACTGAATGCATAAAGCCAAGCGGGGCAAAGCCGTTAACTGTACACTAACACAGGTCGAAGTCTCGTTGAGAACTTGCTGGCTCAGGTGGTAGCAACCCCCGTCTAAGGGCAGCTGCTAAGGGCAGCTGGGGAGGAAAGGTAAGTATACATTCACATCTTGGAGTTGTGCGGCGTAGTACTGATGTCCCTCTGCGGTTAGCCTACTGTTGTATAATAGAACGGCTAGCTAACCGTGACGACAAGGAATAAAAGGGCGAACATATTTCGGTACGGACAACGTGAATTGTGTCATCCGATGCGAATGCACATTGCTTACAGGCTTTGATGTAGCCTTATCCCCCGATGGTGGGGAGCGTACTCAAGATCGAAGGTACACGGACATCGCGATTCACGGACGAATGAGTAGGGGGTGTGACAAGGGAAGATGGGGGTGAAGAGCGAAAGGAAGGGCTGTGGCGATTCTTGGCTGAGATGGGGACATCATCGGCAAGATGGGATTGCACATCACGATAGAATTGTAACTGATAATCGTACCAAGTAGGATCTAGTCTCATACTGCTCATGTTACAGCCACTTCTTCGACCTTCGAGGTCTTCAGTGACCGTAGTTCGAGTTGATCTAGTTTCATACTGCTCATGTTACAGCCACTTCTTCAACCTTGGAGGTCTTCAGTTACCGTAGTTCGAGTCCTCTACGTGGTCAATGAAGGGGAATGATGACGTTGCGCAAAGGAGCCCGCTGCCGAGGAGACTTGTCTGTGCTAAATGGTGAGCTCATGCTGGAGCTTATATGGCGACTCGAAGGGGCATTCACCTGGACTGTAACAAGACTTCAGAGAAAGTTAACCTGGAGTTTGCACCATGTTTGCACTCACCCTCTCCCTCGGCGTTTGGTTGATGGTCAGGTCTGGCGACAAACTTGTGCACTTTCACAATCATCGTCGGCAGATTGAAAAGCTCAGTTGGGGAGCCAATGATGTGTGTATGTATTGAAAATTCCATTTGAGTCAAGGGAATGAAGTTGTACGAACGGAAGAACGAAAAGCTGGGAGAAGCGAGTCAGTGACGTCACTCGAGTGGCTGACCCAGCATAACCAAACAATACACTGCCCGTGGCACTTAACTTGATTCTTCACCACTTCCACCACCTCAGGCATCCTAGCGACAAATGTCTCTTTCCGATGTTGAATCTCAGGCCGCAGTGGATATAGAAAGACAACAGAGACGAGCACACAATGTTCGAAACCTCACCAAGCATTTTCGCGTCCTCATCATTGGCTGTGCCAATGTGGGGAAGACAACCATCCTCCAGCGAGTTTGCAATACAACGGAACAGCCGAAAATTTTCAATCGGAAGGGTCATGAGGTAATACATGTTCTAGACATCATCATCTATCATTATTGATGTAAAAAAGATTGACTCATCCAAGCTCGATCCAACTGCACAGGTAACATGGATCTACACTCTCTATTACATTTTACTGAAAGTGTGACAGAGAGGGGAGCATGATATTGAGAATGAAATGATATTTGAGAGCAATACAGCATTTGTCTTTCATGACTCACATGGCTTTGAAGCAGGCAGAACATCTGAGCTGGATAAAGTCAAGGAGTTTCTGCAAAAATGTTCAACCAACAAATTGCTCAAGGATCATCTGCATGTGATTTGGTGAGTGACTGAGATGTGACATTAAAGTGCATCTGAATACACCCTGTGTAGGTACTGCATCCCAATTAATGATGAAGCCAGACCATTTACAAGAGCAGAGTTAACTTTCTTTGATGAGTGTGGGACTGGTAGAGGTGTGTAAACTATTGATAATCTCATGAATTTCACCTTTCCTTTTTGTGCACAGTTCCTGTTATTGTCCTGTTTACAAAAGCAGATATGCTTGATGCTCCAACCATCAAACACCTGGTTGATACTGGAATGGATGTTGAAGATGCTGCAAATAAAGCTCCAGAAGAGTCAGTTGCCAGGTTTGAAGAGAAATTTGGCAAGCAACTCTTCAAGAGAAAGTATCCTCCCAAGGATCATGTGTATTTTCGAGGTATAACAAACTCATTTACTCATTGACAATAGATTAATTGCATTTGACAGATATGCAAAATCCCACAAGTGACTGCAGTGAACTGCTGAGGAAGACAGCAGCCACCTTTTCAGATGATACACTCTTACAGTGCAGCAAAATAATGTGGCTCTGTCAATTGAATATGCAATTAAAAGGTAGTTGCTTCATTTTGAATTATATGCTGGTAAATTGCTGATTATCTAGAATAACAGAGTTGTCTTTCCAGATTGGAAGTTATTCAATGAAAAGAGAGAGTGGAGGAAGATGGTTGAGAAGATACTGAATTATTTTCCACATATGGTATGTGGACCTTACTTGACTGTACAGTGGTAGAACAAAATAATATATATGAACAGGCGGTAAGCCAACATCCAGTGGGCCTCAAGTAGATGCTAATGGGATCATGCTTTTGTTATAACAGTGGGTGAGTCAGGATCTAGCTGGCCTTTCCTGCT